ATAAGAAAATCTTCTATTTCATTCTTTTCATAAATAATTATTGTTTTGTTTAGATCAAATTTATGCAAAATTCAAATATAAAATTAGAGCAAATTAGTGTTTAATTTGGGCAGAATTTGAATATAAATTTAGGCAAAATTAGAGTATAAATTTGGGCAGAATTAGAATATAAATTATTTAGGCAGAATCAAGTATAAATTTGGCAAAATTAAATTTCTAATATTTACTCTATTCTGATAACATTTTTTTGTTTGTAACTTTTTATTCATATTTTAAGAATAAAATGCTAATATAAGAAATAGAAGAAAGCAAGTCTTCAAAAAGCTCTATTAATATCAGATATAAAGAATAGAGATATCAAACTGGTAGTTATATACTATGCTTGATTATTTGAAATTTAAAAATATATAGGTCTTTGGCGAGCTATATCATATTGTATCTATTTTGTTGTTTTCTTCTTTTATTGTATTCTAAAATCTGTTTTTTTGCAAGGTTTTTAAATTGTGGCTTTTTTGCAAGTTCTTTCAAAATTTCCAATTTATTTTTTTTATGTGTTTTTCGAAGTTTTTTAAATTTGTCTTTAAATTCATTTTCTACCTTTAATTAATTTAACAATAGTTCCATCTACAATTAATTTAACGCTAAATAATACAACAGAAATTATTTTGTATAGTACATCTAGTACCTGCTTTGGATCATCCATCTGTACTATTTTCTCGAACGAATAAATACTTCATATTATTCGAGTATTTCACAACTATTTATCCAAATCTCTATTTATTAATAATTATCTGAATAAATTTATTAATTGGTAATAAAAAACAAAACTAAATAAAGAGATCAACTTTAATAACATGGTTGGATTTTGTAAAACATTTGAAAAAATGATAACAATTACATTAAAAAATTAGTCAATTATTTAATTTTGGGTAAGTTTAATTTAATTTTTTAATTACTAAATATTTATCAAAATTACAATTAAATTATACAATACTGCAGTATCAATAATTACTAAAATTATATATCAATTTTATTCACAAATACATGTCTAAATTTTTATACCCATGTCTGTGCCTTTTTTGGGCACAGAAATAATATCTTTGGTTGCTCATAGTTTTTAAAGCAAATAATATGAAAGTTTATAAAATCTTATTAATGTTATTTTCGCATAATTAACTTGATTGGCCAAAAATTTTAAGGTTAGTACATTTATTCATTACCCAAGGTGATTTTTAATTTTCATATAGTGATAGTATTTCTTACCCATCTTATAGTACTGTATTACAAAATTTTACTAGCAGTTAGGGTAACTCTGTTGTGTAACTAGCAATGTTTCTCGCAATTTTACCTAAAGCCCCAACCCTAACCCTAATATGTTCTTATACCAGAAGCTCATTATATTATGAGTTCCTAATGTGCTCTTTGAAGTAGCAGAAAAAAATCTTATGACTTGGTGCTATAACAATAAAATAAATTAATACAATATAACTTATATAAAAATTTTATAATATGTAAAAAATTTTTTTTATTTTTATTTTTTATTTCTGATAGATACAGATCATGAATATTATTATTGAGTTGTATAAGAACTAAGTAAAATTTTTATCAAAAAGTTATTTATTCTCAAATTATAAGAGAAAACATTAATTTTTTTTTTTAATAATTAATGAAATTCAAAAGATATTTATAAGTATCTCTTGAATAAATCTAAGTGAAAAATTGTTAAATTATATATATATATTTAACTATGACTATGACATGACTAATCGTGTGATTAGTAAAATAGCTATTACACAAATCTCATTTTTATTGAGATCATATTGACTTCCTACACTCTTATTTGATTCTGTATAGTGTAATATTCTAGTCTTCAGATCATAATTCTTATTGTTTTTTATGTCTTTGCTTACTTTTCATGTATACATATGCTTAAGTTTGCAGAACCAATGATCGGATTCTAAGCTATACATATTATGCCTTAGTTTTTTTTTTTTTGCACACTTGGCAACCTACTAATAACCTCTTTTTTTCTCTGATAGTGAAATATTCTATTCTTTGTAGATTATTTTTGGCAAGAATTCTTTCGTGAAAGTCTTTATAACATATTTTACATGCTGCGATTCTATTTAAGTTTCTTAATTCCTCCAGTTTCTGTGACTCTTTACAACTGCAACAATGACTGGTCCTTCTTTTACTATGATAATATTACTGTCATTCTTCTATTTCTTCTTTACTGTATTGGCATTTATAATTTTTGCTTAAACCTTTTTTTTTACAGTCTATTTTAATATATCCCATCTCATTGCATTTACGGTATTCGTTTTTTAGACAATTTCTGAAGCAATGATCATAACTTTGACATTTACTGCATGTATTTTGTCTATAATAATTTATTATTATTAGATTATTTACTTGAAAAGAGAAATAATAAATTAATATTTTTTTTACAATTCGACCGTATTTATAAACTTTACAACATAATGTTAATTAAACATTATCTAACTACATATATTATTTTAGCTCTAGAATAATTATGCAAATAATGATTGAGTGATGCCAAGTAAATATTTATTATTTACTGAACTCTTTAAATATGATTGAGTGATGCCTAGGAAAAGTTTATTATTTATTATTTAATTCACTAATCGAAGATAAGTATAATATATAAGTAAATACAACAAATAAATTAATTATAGCTTGATAAATAATAAATAATATGCTCTTAAGTCTGGTATTTCTTTAGCGTTATTCATTTTGTATCTTTTAATGAGAATTTTCTATTTTAATGAAGTTTTTGATGAGATTGTTAGCTGGCATTATGAAACATCTATCATATGACCTTATCTCTGTCTATATTAAAGCAGAGATAAAGTTATGTGAATCAACCCATTAAGATTCATATAACAAAGCTATATAAAAGCAATGTCAACGAATATTGTAAAATTTTCTTTTTTTTTTTTTATAATAATGTACTTTAAATACAATGAAAAACAAGAAAAAATATAGGAATGCTTAATAAAGCAAAATTTATTCTCTGAACGTTTTGAGGAACTTTGCAGTTTCTAACTGATGCTGAATTTGTATTATTATATCATTTTTTCTCTTACAGTTTTCATTTGCCTTAAAGTTGAATAATATTTTTATATTTAAATTTTCTTTTATACAGTATCTACTTTCTAAAAGGGTGTAATTATAAAATTGACTACAGAATATATAATGTTTAAATATTATTTAAAAATTAATATAAAAATAAAGCAAGTGGTTAAATTATCCTTGTTTAAAGTTTTTAAAAACTTATTAAAAAATATTTGCTTAGTTTCTATTGACTCAACCCCATGCTTCACTTATATGTCATTATATCATAATAAATAATCAAATAGAATATTCTTGAGTTAGTTATATTAAAAATTAGTTAAAAATATAATCACATTATTTAAGAAAATATTTATTATGGTTCAAGAAGATTCATATCTCTATTTTTTAAAAAAAAACTTAACAAATGATTAAGATGATAGATAACAGAGATGAATTTATAAAACATTGCTTCGATATTTTGTGAAAAGCAACTGAAGGAAAAATAAGTTCAGTTGCTTTTAATGAAAATCTATTATTCACAGTTACCTTTAACTTGGTCGATGGGACTTTTAAAATGTTAAATTTAGATGTACCAAAGGTAGTCCTTATTACCAGAGAAAACTTTATAAAATTTTTAAGAGTTATCAAACAGAATGAAAAGGAAGTTGCAATTAATGATGATGAGGTAATTACAATTATTTTTTAAGTTTGTCATATATAGAAACTAACAAGGCAAAAATCTTATAAAGGAATCTAGTAATTCATTAACAGAAATAGCTATTCAAAAAAGTGTACAAAATTCTAGCTTCGATATTGAGACAGATAGTACTTTATTAATAAATAATTCTCATGATCCCATATTCATATCTTCAAGCTTAAAAAAAAAAAAAGTATGCATTAATATCATATTACTAATGCTTAAAATTCTTAGAACAGTCTTCTATTATATTTGAGAACACCAGATTCATTTTTTCTAATATAATTGAAAATATTCTTAATTAAAATTTAAAAGAATTGATACAACATACTGACTTTCTTTCAGATGAATATTCTAACTCTGATGAAGAAATTAATGAACGGAATTTTGATAAAGCTTTAACTTTATTGCATGAAGCAAAAAGTAAATTAACCGATAGGTATCAGTTCAAAATAAATATGAAATTTAAAGCTGTAAAGAAAGTTAAGAAAAATAAACGATTTAATAAGGTACTGTAGATGAATCCTAATCAACCAAACATAATAATTATACTGATTAATTAAACAATTGTATTAACTAAAAGGTCAATGAATGAGTTTTTTCAAACTTGACAGAGGATAGTTCTCTGCAAAGTATTAACGAAGCATTGGTAACTATAAAATTAAGTGTTCTGGTTTATTAAGTTACATATTTAAAGCTTAAAAATTTTAGAGCCAAACGTTAGTCACCAATAATGTTCAAGAAAATACTAGTAATACAGTAAATGAATTAGAAAATAATAATGAATGTGATGAAATAGAGGATATTCAAATGAGCTAGCAATACAATATAATTGTAATAATCTTTTTTGATTTTATTTTATATAATTTAAAATATATCTTTATTACTTACCTCTGCAAAACTATTGATATAAATCATACAAGAACAATTCTTTTGAATCATCTGATACCGATCTTGATGGTATATAATTAGATATTTTTTCTAAAACAAAACATTTCAAACAGTAAATTAATATATGGGATCTTTGCTAGAAAAATGACCCTACGAGCCATTGTTACACAAGATTTTTATTAAGAAAAACATAATAAATCTATTTTTAGAAAAAAAAAATCCTAGCAAAGATCCCATATCTTCTATTGTGATTAGAGTATGAATCAATATCGTCAAATGCTGCCAAAGAATTGCAAGCAAGTGGTAGGCTTTGAAGTTCTAATAAGATAGTGAACTTTTCACAAACATTAAATAATTCAGAGTTTGGTGAAGAAATAGAATACAAGCATGCTAATATGAATCAAGTAAGAATTAATTCCTAACATAATTAGAAACTATGACTTGCTTTGTTTATTATCTTGGCTTCTAGACTATTTGATATATATTTATATTAGTCTAATTGTAATATAGTTTTTTTTTCTAACAATGATAGCTATAAAATTTTTATTGCTATTATATTTTTTAACTGTTTATATTTGTTAAAAGAAAACTAATAAATTTTAACATTACCTGAATTATATAATTAAAGAGTCCTGATGTTGCGAATATGTTTTCAATACCTTCAGATTTGACTGAAGATTCCTTATCTAGCATTGATAAAATATTGGTAAATGTTACAAATGAGTTGGTTTTATTAATGATTATTACATACTAATAAAACAATTTTTAGAATCCTATTAAGAAAAAAACTTTTCACATCCTGATATTGTAGAAAGAAATAAAAATATTTGTATTATCAGCTTATCTTTTTTTCTTCTTTTTACATATATACTTATTTCTTTCACTGTCTTAATTAAGGAAATGCTTGCAGTTTTATCAATTATTGAGCCATCTACTTCATTGTCTAATATTAATGAACAAAATCAATCTGATAAATTAATTTTTCAGATAAAGAATTTACATTATCAATGTAAATCCAGTAAGTATGATATTAACTATTTTTATTATTTTAAGCATCAACCTGTTGTTTTTGTTAATGACCCTATTCCGATAAGAATTTTTTTTAATTCATATAATAATTATTATTTCTTATTACTTATTGCAATAATATGAGATTTTTAAATAATTATATTTTTTTAAACAGGAATTTTTTGTCAATAAAACCAAGAAATCAAGAAATAAGAATTAAAATAAATTTTTTAGTATTATTATTAATTATTTCTAATAGCTTGAAACTATTCAGCTTCAAATGATTATATTTTGGTATATAGATTATCTAAATTTTTAATTTTACAATTTTTAACACTAATATAATGAAAATCTATAGGTTGAAGACAATGATTCAGATAAAGAAATCGAAGAACAAAGAGATTTAGTTCAAAAATGAAAATTTGAAATCAAAAATTATAAAGTGTCAAAAAAAGCAAAAAGAAAAGATAATATTAATGAAAGTTCAGTAAGTTTATCTATATTATTAGTTATCAAAAATATTAATTTTGAAATTAATTAAATACTATTCATTTTAAAGTAAACAAGGGTTTAACAAAAGTTCTGATAACAGTTCTAATAAAATCAATGAATCAACATTAACTTTGAAAAATAGCCAACAGGCTAATAATTCAATTGATAAGGTTAGATTGTTTATCTAGTTATATTATTAATAGTTAATGAAGTTTTCGCTTAAACATATTTATTACTCAATTCCAATCTAGCACATTAAAGTATCAGACGATGATGAAATAATGTTTGATGCCTTCTCATCGTTAAATAATGATAATTTGGCTGATATAATTCATCAAGTTAATTATCTGAAAGAACAAAACAATGAAGGAGAACAAAACAATATTAATAGCTCTAATGTAATTAAAAAAAACCAAGCAAATGAAACTCAAAGGTTGGGTTTTAGTTTTCAGGTAAATTTCTGTGAATATTAAAATTAATTAAGCTTTGCTATCAAAATGACCCTAATGATTTGAATTTTGCATAAATTTGATCTAAACAAAACAATAATTATTTATGAAAAGAATGAAATAGAAGATTTTCTTAT